CCAGAGAACTTGTAAGCTTGTAAAGTCCTGTGCTCTCTTGCCTCTGCACAAGGAGTTATTGGGATGAGGGGCGGTCTGTGTTCTATGTAATGCACCAGAAGATAAGTAAGCAGGCCTGACAACACATTCTGAGGAAGCCAAAAATACACTGTTGTCATTTTAAAGAGGATGGTTAGGAGCACATTTTATTTTTGGCACATCAACAGTTATTTTTATGTATTTGCAGCCTATATAAAGGGATAGAATATGGAGAATTGTGCATATATTCCAGACTTACAAAATGTGTTTGTTTTTTTGCCTTGAAATAAGTGTCTTGTTTTGTATTCAGGCCGTCTACAGTGCATATTTAAAGAATTAACAGTGGAAAGTACAAGTCTTCTATTTATTATATACCTGAATATTATCTTATAATCCACAAGAAAAGGGAACAAAGTTACAGTAACAAATCTTTAAGATGCACTAATATTCTCTTCAAATGAGAAAACACAACAGAGTAAACTCAGGTCTAACTAGTGTTAAATATCAAACCAATAGGCATATGTATATGTGGCAGAAAGTATACTGCCCACTTTCCACTCACTCAGTGCAAATACACAATGCAGAGCTAACACAAAACCCAGTAACTTACTGTACTTAAAAGTTGATTCCATGCAACAAAATCAAAAAATATAAAAATAACGCACACAGCACAGACCACGGTACAAACAACTGCAAAATACTGCTACATAAGCACTCAAGTGGAATTGAATTTAATAATGCTTTTTTTGCAGTGCACATTTTACAAAATACTACAAAAACTCCAAGTGCCTGTACTAAAATTCCTACTTAGGAACATAAAGTCAATAAAAAGTGTACCTGTCACCTGTAAACTGTAGAGGCTGCCATTTCTGGGATGTAGCAATGGTTAAGTGAATGGATTTAATGAACAAAAAAAATAAATAAAAAAAAAAGCACACAGTAGTTAGCCCACAGCAACCAAACACACTTCATTTTTCAGATATGACTTCAGTAAACTGAAATCAAGCTGGCTGCTATTGGCTACATCACTTTGATTTACATTCTGAATTAGCATTGCAAGTTTCAACAAGGTGAACAGGCTGCTTTATACCTGACTGAAGCTGCATGTTTCAGTCAATATTATATTTAAAGGCTACACCCACAATATGGCTGCTTCCACTGTATGGAGGAGATGGGTCCACTTTAATAAATACCAAGACAAGTTATGTAATGGATGCACAGGTTATCTGTGCATACTCTTAGTCATTTATATATATTTATATATATAATAAAGTGAATTTGAAAAGGTCTTGTTTCTTTATAAACTACATTGCCAAGTCATTAAGGAATTATTTAACCTCCTCACTGCGGCCTAATCCTGCACTTCAGGTAGAGAGCTGCAGGTACAATGGCAGTGAAGTGGCTTCCACACCATGGACTACAACAAAGTGACACATAGTGTCACAAACATAGCAGTGAAAATGCATTGCTGTAACTATTCTACACTTTTTTTTGTCTGTGTATACTTTTTTTTAGAAGGATAAATATATACATTTATTTATTTACATACACATTGTCCGCAGTTTTTTTTATACAATCAAGAAAAAAAGATACAATTTGTATCAACAAACAAAAGGTCAATTCTGGCTATGCAAGATGGATATTTCGGCTGCCCTTCGCCAATCCTGGAGAAAACTGGTACTACAAATCCTAACTTTTAAAAATACACTCACTCACTGTTGTTTTAAAGAAAATGTAAATAGAATTTAAAGCTGATCACCAATCCAAACTTTTTTTTATAGTTTAGGATATAATAGGGCTTTTAGATCATATTCATCATCTATTAGGATATTTTCATAATCCAATGCTGTTATAAAGAAGTCACTCTTTTCTCCTGTAGTAAAATTCAGAATCCAAAGAGCCTTAAAAAAGCATGTCTAGAGATCTGATTAGTTTTAATGCTGTTCATGAAACTTAAAAGATGGGGAGCAGGGTGGTTTAAATAGCACTAATTATTGGTAATTATTTCAGATATTTTAGATTTAAAATGTTTTCATGCTCTGGATGTGTTGTAAACATGTTTATTCCCATCAAAGAACAGCAAAATATATAGTTAGATATGAATAGAGGAATAAATTCACTAGGATTTGGCCTAAATTTCCATTGCAGTTACTACCTGTGTTTACTACACTTGTGCCTCCAACTGTCCAGTATAGTATGTTGCAGTGAGCACATCATTATTAAGGATCTCATTTCTGACTATTCATAAATGACAAAATTGTCTGCTTCTCACCAGCTGATTCATCCACACAGACTTGTGGAAACACAGCCTATAGATATCTGATGATTTGTGACCATTAACCAGGAATGGTAGCTTGCACAAACAGAGAAGTGAAAATCACAAGTATGAAGCACAACACTGGAGAGCAATACTGACCTCTGCACATATTAAAGTGAACATTTCAGAACATTTGCTATATGCCACAAAAAAGGCTCCTATTTAGAACTGAAGGTGCCGCTGCATTACTCTTCCAAGTTTTCACAATAAAATTGTAGGTTAGTTGTGACAGAAGAGCCATCCTGACGGGTTCACTTCAAATGCTCAGTTATATTGTTCATAAGAGGTATGCACAAAGTTCATACACTAACAGTATAGTTGTACATCAACGCCACTTTCACTTCTCAATGAGCCTCATGATTGAAAGCATCTGAAAAAGGGTGTTAAAACCACAACAAGTTTCTTAGTTCCCTCTTTACTGTGTTCCAGAGACATGAAAGGGAGCATACTTGTGGCCTTAGGCAACACAATTCTTACAGACACTTACTCAGGAGGCTCAATGTACTGTATGTACCACAGGTTCCCCTGTGAATAAAAATATGCAAAAGCTAACGCGGAGCAGCCGAAGACCCAATTCTCAAAAAGCCAGAGAAAACCCTGACGGCAGCCTGACGTTCTGTTTTGTTTCACAGTAAGAAACATTTAGGCAGTTATCACCTTCTCATGAAGAAACAAAAAGGGCAATCAGCTTGGCCCTTCTAAGCTTTCATGAAAAAAAAAAACTGAAGTCACCTAAAGCCCAAAGCAGTGGCTATGGTTTGGCTTCAAAACCTTAAAGTATTATACAATGGGGTTCATTAAAAAAATTAAATAAGGTATAGTGCTAAGGGTCAGCAACCTGAGTGCAGCAGAAGACCACCAAGAAAATGCCTGGTCTGGCAATGCTTTTTGCAGTGTTCCCCCTTACATCTATGTACATAGACCAAAAACAACCACGAAAAAGTGCAACTAATCCACTACCAAGTAGTGAATAAAGCCTGTATCTCAAACATATCCAGTACCTGCTGGAAAAGAACAGCAATGATAGTTACACCTTCCGTATATCTAACTAAAGTAAGGTCATGTACGGACACCAAATTACAATGTTGAGTGTCTCTGGTGAGTCATGTTTGACATCACTGACATTTACAAATAAATTGGTAGTAGAAAAAAAAAAAAATACCATACAAGACAAATTAACAAATGATAAAAAATATCCCTCCTATTGCAGGAATGACACCACAAGAGTTGTACTCCCTTACGGTCAGGTAAAGGACTCGTAAACCTCATAAACAGGCTTAGGTAAAAGAGCTAAACATAACATTTAAATATCATAAAAGCGTCCATATTTGTATGAACCCTCGAGAAATCCATCACTAAGTAAATTCTGTGCAACATGCTGTTAATATCTTTCATTTTAGGTTAAAGGAGGCCTACAAATGCTATTTTGTAATATTAATTAATGGGATTACCAGACATAGATCACCTGTTTCTGGGTAGTAGATAACCCAAAAACCACATTTATATATTAAAAAAAAAACATATATTTTTCTAAAAATGTTATCAAAAGCTCTTATCCATACCAGCATTATAATTTGTTTATTAGCCATTTAACCATCTGGGTACTGGCAATAAATATCACTTGAAGCCCAGGTATGGCCAAACAAATAATAATGTGTTCAGAAATCAAAGTCTTAAGCTACATCTCCTCAGGAGCCATATCAATGGTATACTATCAGAATGGGTTTTTCTTTCAAGAAAAATGTCCAGATTTTTTCTTGCCCACAAAACGGACACATAGCTACATCAAAAAATATACAAACACATTTCTTTCTCTATTACAAAATACTACATGCATTTGGCCCATGAAATTTAAAGGCTTCCTTTGTATTTGGGCACCAAAAGCACAATTGTGATTAAGAGGCGCATGGCTATTACAAAATATTACTGAGGTACAACCGACTAGTGACCTGTCAAAAATTGTGCAAACAAAAAACACAAAACAAAGGTTCTGTTGTGCAAATATAAAATCTGTAGTACAGCTTTGTATTGCAACATGGTAATATATCTATGAACGCTAAAAGATACAAAAATATCTGAGCATTCAGCAATACATTTTCCCTGTGCAATAGCAACCTTCTTTTAAGCAAAGACAAGTTTTGTTGAACAATAAAGAAAAGGAACTACCTATGTACAAGGTTGTACTGATTGAAACTGCAAATACACATGTAAGCATGCAATATAATTGCTAACAATATGAACAGGTGTTTTTTGTGAACAGCTGAACTTAACATGATGCAAGCAACTTATGTGCTTTGATGATGTGCTGGGATCTCCAGCATTGGAGAGATTGACTGACCCTTCCATTCTCTTTATTAAGAATAGGAATCAGTGACTTAGCCTTCCAAGAAACTGAGGTTTAACCTGTCAAACAGGTCTAGCAGGGATAAATATATCTATACAGTAAAATATGCACTCCTTTTGGAATGCTGTAAAGATCATAACGTTTACGTTAAAAAAATAAATAAAAGTTTATAGTCTTTGTAAAGTTTAAGTGGTGGCAAGAAAAAGGAAAAAAAACTGGTCGATAGATTATCTGAGAAAGCTAAAATGTGAAAAACACTGCCAGGTTTTATTCAGGCAACTTGATCAATAGATACTATTGTCCAGGCTTTAAGGGATGATATTAACAGTGCTGTTGACCTGATCGTAACCTTGATACAATAATCGCTGCAAGCTGCTGGGCATCGGTCATGTGCGGGTTCTTCTCCATGACAGAGAGTACCACTGCTGGAGGAAAGATGTTACACAGGTTTTTGTAGGTCTGATACTGATGCTCTGGAATGATGTGTTGTCCTCTATGTTCACTGGCCATAACTGGCCAGTGAGGAGATCTCCAGAGCTGTTCCATCTTCTCAGGCATGCTTCTTACCATGACAGGTTCATAGCATGGCTGCATGAGACTATTACTAAGTGGGTATGAGTGGTAACCATAGGAGTCAGTGGGGCAAGGTAAAGGGTCCCAGCTAGCATGTTGTTCACGGCACAGTGGAGGTCTTCTTTGCCGCATGGGGTTACTCTCATAAAGACGGGAGTCCGATATACTATCCATTCTAGTCATGACCAGTGCTCTCCCAGGCTGAGCATTAGCGGAAGGGTGCATATTCTCTGGTGCTGGGTAATCTCCAGGACAGCTGGACCTTGCCCCAACAAGTGGATGTTGTATATGCAAAGCCAGATGTGAAGAGGACTGCTTGCGGGAATTTTGCATGGGCTCCTCTTGACCATAGCTCTGAACTCGTGTTAAAGCTTCATGGTAGCCATGTGCAAATGGCTGCAGCCTATTCTGTGGAGGTGGCCTTTGGGGTTTGATGTTGTCTTCAGGTCCAGGATCAGAGATGCCCAAATACAGGTCACTGTATGAAGAGTAGGAGTCACTGCTTGTGTGACTCATGCAGCTATCTGGACATGGGCTGGAGTTCCTTGAAAATACTGCTCTGTCCTGCTCTGTGCTGTAGTATTCAGAATTGTGCATACTGCTTATGCTCAAATTAGAGAAATCACTTAGCATTGAGTAGTAACCGTGGTCTCCCAGAGAGTCATATTTTGGATACTCTTCAGTGTAACTGACAGAATTGCCATGGCTATTAGTGACCAGTATTGGTGGATAGTGAACACTTGTCATGTGCTCCAAAGAGGATTTCTGATGGGAGAACTGTGATGATCCAGGCACAGGGCTGCTTGCTGAACGTGTGTTCAAAGCGTTGACAGCATGACTCTTAGGTGGAAGAGTTGGCACGCTCAAGGCAGATACAAGTGATGGCACAGAGTTGGCCTCTGATTTGCGGGCTGTTGAGAGCCTCTGTTCTGGCTCTACAGCTGCAGAACGAATACTAGGATCAGATTGTCTTTTAGGAGCAATTCTCTTCACTTCCATGGATCCATCTCCCTTGGAATTAGATGGCCCAGTCCCACATTTTACCAACGCACCTTCACTCATTGTCTTGACCGCTGACAGTTTTGCACTTATTCTGAGTTCATCGGCTACTGATCGCAGAGGCTGGTTTGCTCTCTCAGGGTGGTAGTATTTACATTTGTGTCCATACGTACATTTCTTCCCTGAAATAAATGAAGGGCATTACCAAGAGGCACATTGTTAAAATAACATTTGTTTTAATTCTGTTCTATTACAGTTATATACACTCACCAGCAGTAGTGTATTTATGTTTTGAGCTGCCATAGGCAACACAAAAATATACACACATACATACATATACACACACACACACACACACACACACACACACACACATACACATATATTTGTTCAATGATTCTATGAATTGGAAATTGTTCAATTATAAAGTGGCAATCAATGTTTGTCAGCATTCCCCCCTCTTAGCACACATTCTTCAACCCCTTCTCCAAGCACAAACATTCCTCCCAATCCCCCCTCCTGGCTCAAATCCCCCAAACCCTCCTACTAGCACATATCTCCCCCTCAAATCCCCATTACACTTCCTAGAAAAGGTGGAGAGGTAAGAGCCAGGAGGAGGTGCGCTGTGTTGTATTCTCTGGGCTTTCCCTCCTGTCAGAACAGCACTCATCCATGCAGCACATGAGACAGGATCACTGATAGATTGTTTGTGACCACCCCGTCTAACACAGTACACAAAAACACTGGTTAGGCACAAGTTAACCCCTTGATCGCCCTAGATGCTTAACCCCATCCCAGCCAGTGTCATTAATACAGTGACAGGGTATATATTTTTAGCACTGATCACTTTATTAGTGTCACTGGTTCGCACAAAGTGTCAGTTAGTGTCAGGCCATCCTCCGCAATATAGTAGTCCCACTGTAAATTGCTGATCGCTGGCATTACAAGTATTAAAAAAATAATTCCTATACACACACACACACACACACCACCATAGTTTGTAGATGCTTATTAGGCTTTTTTCTTAGCAAAAATATGTAGAAGAATACATTCTGGCCTAAATTTATGAAGAAATTTGATTTCCTAAATTTTTTTTTATTGGATATGTTTTATAGAAGAATGTAAAAACAATTTTTTTTTTAAATTCGTCTTTTTTTTTTTTATTTATAGCGCACACCATAAAAAAACCCAGAGGTGATCATATTTATTTGTGGGGAAAAACAATATAAAATTGAATTTATGTACAGCACTGCATGACTGTGCTATTGTCAGTTAAAGTAGCACAGCGCCCTATCCCTATCGCAAAAAATGGCCTGGTCATGAAGGGGGGTAAATCTTTCGGAGGTCAAGTAGTTAAAGGGAAGCGATCATGGGCAAATATATTGAGCTGCCTTTGCACTCATTGCAGTGCTGCTCTATGCATTAGAAGAAACCATCCTGCACATACAAGAGGTGAAGAGGACCCTGTGGAGTCATGTATCTAATCAAACTTGACAAAAAGTTCTAACCCTTAACTGAGAATAAAAAAAAAAAAATTGTACTTCCAGTAAAACCTTTTCTGGAACCCATTGAAGGACACGGGTTATAATAACACCTACAGTAGATTTGGAAACTGGCAATGACCACTAAAAGCCAGTACCTGTATATACCCTTCTCTGCACCTCAGTTTTATGAGATAGCAGTCCATGGGCCAAAAGCACAGCGGGACTGGACGGGACTTGTGTCCTCAATGGACACGAAGAAAAAGATTTGATAATAAGCATAAAAATCCTATCAAAACAGTAATTTACCAACAGAACATACATAAAACATGACATAACAGTTAGAAACAAAGACACAACTGAAGAGGGAATAGAACAGACCAGCAACAGTTAAATCAATACACAAGAAAATAATTCACTGGACTTAGACCCAGGATTAAAAAAAAAAAAAAAAAAAAAAAAAATCCTAAACTTGGACAACGGGGAAAAAAAAAAAAAAAAAAAAGATTAACTGGTCAAAAAATGAAGTAGAGAAGGGCTAAGCATTATACTCTTAACTTTAGAAGTAGGGTAGGATGTTCGATAATGAAGAAAATGGCTGTGCTGCCACATCACCAGTCACAATGGATAGACAGAAGAAGAAACGTATCAAGCCCAGAGGGGAACCACTGCAGAAGCAATATCAAAGGGAAAAGTATACCAAGTGAACAAAACCCTTATGCAAAAAAGGGGGTTGGAAGGGCTGAGGAGACCCACCGTACAGGGAAGCACCCTCAAGGTGACACCCTATAAACAGGCAGAGACTGAGTATCTAGAACGTCTTGATCCAAAAGGTATCATCTGGATGCCTAGTCACCCTGACACAAAAAGGGGAGCCTGATGATGGATGAGATCCCCCAAAAGGGAAAAAACATAATAGAAAAGCAAAATTCTAGACACCCCACGCACTCTAAAGGAAGAAGGTGGCACACATTTTTGGGTCAGTAAAGAAGATAGCAAAAGGTCCATTGGAAGGGGACCTCTTTAGTGAGGGTCTAATCCAAACCATCTTGGTCTTTGATGAAACAAAGATGCCAGTAGAAGATCCATGAACCACTTAATTGCTCACACCTGTACACTCCCCATGAATCAGAGCAATTTTTACATTTTTGCTATGGACTGGTTTAACTTTAGTTACATCAATTAATTTTAGATAACTTTTACTCACGATTACAAAATGAATACATAAATTCGCATTTATGGCCTTGCAAAAAGTTTTTCTTTCCCCGCAATCTTTATTAAAAAAAAACAAAAAAAAAAACCCACCAGTGTTGGTTTAAAAAAACGTTACTATAGATAAAAAGTGTACATTTTATTCTGTACTTTGTCTTGTTTAAAGGATACACTTGCACTGCACTGTGTGTGATTATGCACTTAAGCACATTTGCGTTGATATGTATTTTTATGCTGCATTGAGTATTAAAATGATCCCAGAGAAGTTTCTAATGACAGTGTCAACAGAAGGTCAGAAGAGGCGACAACCCCGAATGGACAACTGAGTTAGATGTTCCTTGGACACATCAACAGCATCCCAGGCATATAGTTAAAGTGCCCTTTCCCATGTTACCGGACATTGAACGCCATGCAAGGAACAACCCTAGAATATCCAGACAGTTTCTCCATATGTCTAATAAAATTAGAACCTACGCTTTGAATGTCAGGGTCCTCTTTAAGGCACTTAATCCAAAGAGATAGTTTTTGAAATTTTTTTGAAAATTAAAATGATCAACACAGGATGCAAAGTCACCCCAGCTAAATCAAAGTGTGAATTCAACTGCCTGTCAGTGAAATCTCAAAAGCTTACACATCTGTTTGGTAGTAGGTTCATTAATGTGGATTACTAGAGCATCTATGGTGGGAAAAGACTGTTTCAAGAAGGAGAAGTTCCATAATCTTCTCTTGAGGGAGCCAGGATACTATGAGACTCCAGTCCTCAGAGAAATTAAACAGTGGGTGTAATGAAAAGATCTTTGCAGCTGTGGGAGCCTTAAAAGACCCTAGACCTGAAATAACAGGCTGATCTTCTAAATGCAAGGTAGCACATACTGCATCAATTAGGTTAAAAACAACCTCTTGTAAACCTAAGTCATCTGCAAGGTGCACAAGTACAGCCTATCTAGGAGTAGTCTGTGAAACTGGATTACAAAATGTTAACAGGGGCCTCTGGCAAGGTTTGAGTTGAAAATCCAGAAATGTCAAAGATAGGCTCTGTCAAGGATAGCACAGGAGCATGCTTAGAGCTTCTACAAGCAAAAAATCCAAAGTGGATACGGAGGTCCCTGTTTGCATGGTGGAGGCCCCGTAAAGGTGAAGAAGCTTCCAAAGAAGATGCTCCTCTAATAGGGAGCATACGTTCTAGACTGCAGACATCTGTTCCTTCCAGTCATATTTGATAAACACCCCAAAAACCAGCAAGTGAGTATAGGTTGGGGAAACATGTTGCAGCAGAACTGTTACCTGTGCTGATGAGGGTTACAGGTGGATGGAGGGGATAAAGTCACTCTAGTCTGGTAGTGGAAAGAGACTGAATGATCTATGCGGTGCTTCAGGAGCAACAGCAGGATGGTACTTCCTCAAAGCTGAATGACGGGAGAAAGAGAGTAGAGCTCGCACAACACTCCACCTAGCTGAGGACATTTGTGCTCTAACCCCCAGCCTTAACCAAGTTGATAGTTGAGGGCATTTTAAAATGGCATCAAACTGTGCCAACTGTAGGGCAAGCACATGATGCTTCAGCCGGACCAACTGTACTCACAAGTTTTCAGAGACTGGGTCAAACCAGAAGCTGTGCAACGGCTCTGGACCCGAAAAGCGTTCTGTGGCTAATACAGTCACTGAGATCTGAAAAGCACCACAATGAAGAGCTGGGGGCCCCAAAGGTGACATTCCAGGCTAGCCTTGACATTAATAAAAAACAAACATACATTCAGGATGGAATCCAACTTTAAAAACTCTTGGATCATCCAACTCCTAGATCAACTGCATGCATATTCTCAAATATAAGAAAACACAAATTCATGCTGTAAAAAAGCAAAAAACAGACACAAAACAACAACATATACAGTTAGCATTGTCTGCTTACCATAGGGACATGGTTGCTTCTTATGCTCAGGAACAACAGGCTTTTTACGCAGGAAATTTTCTAGACTGGGGCCATGCCTTCCTAGTGGATCATCTGGTGGCATAAACCTGGATATACAGTGGAAAGGATCACATAGTTCAAATTATACAAAGTATATACTACGCTTTGTAATGTGCAATTATTTTAGGAGGAATCAAACATAGCCTGGCACAAGGTCATGCAATAAAGTTATGCAGCCACCTTCAAGTGAATGGACACTGTAAAAAAAAAAAAAAAAAAAAAAAAGGCAGGAAGTCCCTCCCAGGCACAACCCCTCACAGTTAGGCAGGGTTTCAGTTTTTGTAGCAAGCCAAAAACCACAGGAGGATGAGGGGCGGGATCTCTGTGTCCCGTGATGTCTTCTAAGGAGGATTTTACAGGTAAAACCAAAATATCCCATTTTCTTTGTCATACATCATGGGACACAGATCACCTTCATATCTATTAAGATAAGGATGTCTCAAAAGCACTGAATATGATGGGAGGACAACATGGCAACTACCCCCAAACAACTAAACCAAAACTGGTTAGAACCTCACGCAGCAGCCTGCAAAACATTCCAACCAAAAAAAGGTAGAATCCTCTTACATCTACTTGGAAAAACTTTGTAAAAGTATGAAGTAAAGGGCAGGTAGCAGCTTTAAAAACTATGAGCTACCGAAGCCTGATGTCAAATAGCCCAGGAAGTATTCACACTCCTTGCAAAATGAACGGTCACCAAATATAGTAGAACGTTTCTCCTTTAGATTTTAAGCCTGAGAAATAAGCTGGCAGATTCATCAAGAAACGGTAGACTTGAAAGCTGCTTGACCCTTCCTTTGGCCTTCAGGAAGCACAAAAAGGGAATCTGATTGACAAATTGCAGTAGTCAACTTCAGGTAACACCTGACAACACAAACCACATTAAGAGTGTGACAAGCCCAGTCAACCAGTGTCTGCAGCTTAGAACAGAATGACAGAAACACAATGTCCTGGTTGAGATGGAACAGAGAAACCACCGTAGGCAGTTGCTGCTATTCAAAGATACAGTCTTGGCATGAGGATAGAGGACAGGAGGGAAAAGGAAACGCGTTGTGGACCGCCCCCCTTCAACTTATCACGTTCTTCTGTCTGTTCTACTGTCAGTGCTTACAGTGATAGGAGAGACACCGCTGATCTGTCATCTTTCAGAAGGCCCCTGACTGTTTCCATGCAGCTGCCATCAGTCCATCCAGATTGCTATGAGATGTTTTGTAGTTTCATTCTGACACTTGGAGCAGATTACAGGTTTTCTAGATGTAAGCGAGATTAGATTAAAAAGTGTTGTTTTATCTATACGCTAATCTGGCACCCTGCTTCGTTTTTGCTTGTTCATGAGGGATTTTCCAAATCCATTGGCTTGGAGCTGCCAGAGTGTGTGCTTTTCATCCACCATCCCAGCTGCCCATTTACCTGCTGTTGTAACTTTATGAACATCTTTCACTGTTTTTGGAGAGCAGATTGTGCTTAACCGTCACCCTATAGCAGAAATACTGCTACAGGGTGGCAGGGCTGCGTAAAATCACGTACAGTGAGGAACAGAAGTATTTGCGATTTTGCAATTTCTCCCACTTAGAAATCATGGAGGGGTCTGAAATTCACATTGTAGGTGCATTCCCACTCTGAGTGGGAGAACTTGCAAAATTGCAGGGTGTCAAATACTTCTGTTCCTCACTGTATATATACGTGATTTTGCATTTACGGGTAGGGGGGCGCGTGTGCCCTATCCACGCAACCATTGGCGGCTATGGCTGACAATCACTGGGTCCTGGTCAGAGATTCCCCACCGACACCCGGCGATCGCCGAGTATCATTGACTTGGGAGAGATCTGTATGTAAACAATACAGATCTCTCCAGTCAGCTCCAGCATACTGCTTTGTATTGCTCTGCCTAACAGAGCAATACTAAGCAGTGTGCTTACACTGTAATACACACAGCACACAGTTAACCCTTTGATTGCACCAAATGTTAACCCAGGGGTGTCAAACTCCATTTCATTGCGGGCTGTATCAGCATTATGATTGCTCTCAAAGGGCCAGTTGTATCTGGATGTCAAGAATCCCCACCCTCCCTAACATCACCATGCACACCCTTTAGGGGCAGAGCTGGGAAGCAGAAAGTGTAGGGTCTGGAAGAGGACCAGAGAAGGTGTGGAGCCAGTTACCAGAGTCTTCTGAATGCTGAGACCAGGGGAGGCGGAGATGAGGGAGTGCTGCAGCTGCACTGAGAGGTGCAGGATCTGGCAGAGGAGTTCTGTGCTCCTCTCTGCTGCTGACTGCTGTGGCAAAGTGGATGCAGAGACTAAGGAGGTACCATAGTTGCAGGAGAGATGCAAGAGCCACATGAAATGGCCTGGAGGGCCGGATTAGCCCGCGGGCCTTGTGTTAACCCCTTCCTGCCCAGTGCCACTAGTACAATGTCAGGGCTTTTTATTAGCACTGATCACTGTATTAGTGTCACTGGGGATGTCAGTGACAGTCATTTCCCCCCCAGTGTCAGAATGCCCACCGCAGTCCCGCTATAAGTTGCTGATCACCGACATTACTAGTATAAAAAAAAAAAAAAAAAAATACCAGTATCTATACCACCATTTGTAGACGCTATAACTTTAATGTAAATCAATTAATGTACACGTATTGGGATTTTTTTTAGCAAAGACATTTAGAATACATTTTGGCCTTAATTTATTGACAAAATGTGATTTTTGAAAAAGTTTTTACTGGACATGTATAATATCAAAAATTCAAAAATAGCTTTTTTCTCAAAATTGGTTGGCCTTTTTGTTTAGAGCACAAAAAAAACAAAAACAAAAAAAAAAAAAAAAAAAAAAAAAACACACACACAAACGATCAAATAGCACCAAAAGAAAGCTCCATTTGTGGGGAAAAAAGGACATCAATTTAATTTGCGTGCAGCGTTGCATGACCGCACAATTGTCAGTTAAAGTAACACAGCACCGCATCACAATAAATGGCCTGGTCAGGAAGGGGGGTAAATCCTCGAGTGCAAGTGGCAATATTACAAGTCTGTTTAGTTTTGGAACAATGAAAAATTTGAGTAGAAACCACAAAGTCTTTCGTCCTCTTAAACTGGAATGGTCACTCAATTATTCAAGATGATCAAGATTTTTATGAAGAGTAGATTTAAAGAAAACATTTAAAAAACAAAGCATGGAGGGGGGAAAAAACCTCTAAAACTTCCAGCTTGTAGCCACAAGCCACTATGTTGGAGGTCCACTCGTCCGCAATCTGTTGCCAAACCTCTGTGAAGGCCTGGAACGTCCCCCATCTGAGCATGTGGGGGCACCCCTTCATTGTGAAGAGGACTTCAGTTTAGCAGGCTTTGGAGGCCATGGTTTCTTATGAAACTGGAAATGGGGTTTTGACTGGAAGACAGAGGCCTAAGATTGGCAAAATGTAGTGGCAGGTTGTGGAACTTGGCTTAAGCGGCCCACAGAGATTTTCTTTCCTTCCTTCAACACAGCCCTTGTGTTCTGCCAACAGTGGAAGGGGAGCAGGGAGCCTTTCCTGCCGTCAGAACACAATGAATACAGTTAGCGGCTATAGTTGCTGGCAGTAATCAAATGTTAAAATATTGATAGAATAGACTTGGTTACAATTAGCCTGCCCATACCTGGATCGAATCTCAGCCGGTCCCTGCCGAACCAGCCAAATTTTGATCCAACTTTTGAGCATTAAAGTACTCTTGCCTAGAGCCCAGAGTCATTTCTGAATTAAACCATCCGGTAGGACCAGACAAATACGCTCCACATCAGGGATGCTGAATTTCTATCGCCTGATGCCCAGGACATGCAGTTCCGTCACTTGGCAGGTAGTTTTTCGTAACACTCAGCCCTGCTGCAGGTAAGCAGAAGGGCTTGTCAGTTCAAAGCATTCAAGCTGCTGCGCTGCCATCCAAATGCTTCCACACACCCCAGCAAAGTACCCTCTCAACGTATCCCGAGCCCTGCTTGCGCATCTGCCTGCTCAGGACCAACGTAGCGGGATGCCACTGGGTAGAGGGAAGGGAGGAGAGTAGACACACGTCTTCTCTTCTTGTTCCTGATCTGGAAGTGACATATGGCATTACTTCTGGGTCCCTGTTGACATTGCGATCTGCATTGCATTACATTCAGTGGAGCACAGGGGAGACATCCAGGGTCTTCTAGACCCTGGATGTCACTATAAAAGAGAACCTGTTACCAAAAAAAAATCATCACATAGGGGACTTTGATGGGGGAAAAAAAAAAAAAAAAAAAAAAAAAAAAAAGGAAGGAATTTTTTTTTTTAAATTATAAAAAAAAAAAATATTTTACATCCAAGCACATAAAATCCTCCCCCCGCCCAAAAAAAAATGTTGAGACCCCCACCCGACATAATGCACGTTCAAACGTAAAATGCACACATTGGGGAGCTTGCACATGAAAACCTCAATTGTGATGCATATTACATATCGCCACGCATGCCGGAATTACAGCAATAATTCCAACACCAGACCATTTCCATAACGCTAAACTGATGCTCTATAGGGGGCTTTTAAGGCGGCTTTTTGCAGTAATATATGACAGAAAAAAAAATGGAACATAATGTTTTGGGTGTTTTATGCAATGTTCATACCTAAAATAATTTTTTAAACGTGTGCAAACAAACGCAAACACAGCTCTGGCAACGAAAAGGTTAAAAAGGATAAGTTTACCTTCGGGAACATGTTACATGTTTTACCTGCTTTGTGTGACAGCAGTATGGGGAGACGTTTGCCGTAACAGCTGTCACTTTTTGAAAAAAAATCATGGCTGTATCATTCATTCACAGAGTTCTGTGAATAAATCACCTACAAGTACCAACAACATATGCAAATGACGGCTTGTAGTTCTCAATGAACTACCAGAGCGATGGTGAGGACTCTGGTACTGCATGGATTCTTCCTGTCAGTGTGAAACTGGCTGCTCGTTTGATGTACGGGCACACAGATTACACGGACAGTCTGCAGGAGTCCTACATTACACCCGTGATCTGCAGATTGCTAGTGCAATGTTTTCTAGGCTCCTATTAAAATAAATCAATAAAAATAGTAAATGCACATTTTTTTTACCTGCCAAAAGTGTGAATTTATTGTTTTTCTTTGTAAAAGGTGAACTTATCCTTTAAAGGAGAAGTACAGCCAAAGTCAACACAGTTTGTTCTGCATTTCTGTGACTTGTTGTCAGCTCACAGTGGGCTGAAGCCCACGATCAGCTGACATCACTGAGCCAGTCCAAGCTGGGGAAAGATCCCGACTTTAAAGTTGGCATTTACACCAAAGTCTGGAGTGGCACCTGGCTCAGCCTCTTAGCGAGCCGCTCCCTCCCTCTCCACAGCCCAGCACTCCAGTGAGCACAGGGGGGCTTAGAGCCGACAGAGGTCATTGGCAGTCATCGCTCTCTGCTCACGGTGGTGAGAACTCAGCGATCAGTGGTCATGTGATCGTCGAGGGGCAACGAAGCTTGATTTGGCTACTCAGCATGCGCTTGTACTGAGCATCCAAGTGCTTCCGTGTGTGAGGGTAACCTAAAGGAATAAAGTTTTTTTTTCTTGACAGACAGGCAGGGAGGTGAGTAGGAGATAAACAGAGCAATGTCAAAAACATGAAGTTTGCAGCCATAAAGCTCCTTTCCTTTTTAAAGGCCCAGATATTCCTAAAAGCACTCCAGATTCAGGTTTGGTTAAAATCATTATTTCTTATCAGGACAAATAGATTGTTATATGGGACCCAGATTTAGTCCCTTGGATAAGTAGTTTTTTTTTTTTGGGGGGGGGGGAGGGTTTATGTGTACGTCAAGACCTCAAGACCCAAAAGTTGCTCTATTGTTTCATGCATCCACTGAGAAGCGAACAGCAGACGGAAAATCCTCTATGTTTTGCTTGATTATTAGTAGAATTCCTCTAGTCACGTGATGAGACCAGATCTTAAAATGTTTTGTCACATGCCAACAGCTGCAATTGCTGGATGAAAAGCTGCTTCCACCAGCGCAAATGAGGCCTAGAATAAAGTCTCCATTTGTTTGTCTGAGGCATCCCTAAATACAGAGACCTTCTGGGAATGAGAGGGTCTTAATGATATAAGAGACTGCTGTATCCACTGAAGGCATATTCCATTTCTTAGTGAGCTCATTCTCCATTGTGTATTGCTGAGCAAACCTTTTTGGAGGAATGAACACATTGTCGGGGGAGCCCAGACTGCGTACAAAGAAATTCTTTAAAGGAGGATGAACAGGAAAGGACTAGGGATTTTGTGGTGCATGCCACAATCCCAATCCTGTATTTTTAGGAGTAAAGGAATCAGTAATTTAAATTAGTCTGAACAGCCACCATGAGAAAACTTGTGGACCCAACTGGACAGACCCAACTGGGAGATGGGCTTTTGGAGAGGAGAGCAGGCTAGCCTCTTGCCTACTGACCATGGGTCCTGGCATTTGAGGGGACTCTATTCTTTGGAGGTGTGTGCCTGGGGGACCTTTGGAGTAGTTTTACTTCGGATTCAAATACATGTCTCCACGAAACACAAACTCTGAGAGCTGAAGGACCCGGATAAAGATTTAGGGTCTCTGTGCCCAAACCAGCATGGACTGCTTCAACCCCCCTCCTAGACTGCGAGCAGATGTTAATATAATCAGCTCAAAACAATCTGATGCTGAGGCATCCTACTTTAATCTGTTTATTAAGGTGTTGTGTTTACTGCTGTGTCTTTCTCCCATTGGTAATGGAGTTAAATGACTCACCTATTGTTTCTGTCTGTTGGCTAATTCTGCTGGAGGTTCCTACATGATAGGATTCGTCTTGTGCCAACCTTACCTAGTTATCTAATCATTGTGTGATGGTTATCCCAATGTGTAATATTTGTTTTTATTGTTCATGTGGGGTTCAATGTGCCCCTATTTTTGAAGTCATCTATTTTTTCGGTGCAATGCCCAGCTATACTACCTTGTTCCTGGGTCCCAGCGGCAAAGAAGCAGTTCTCTGATGGAAGCACCCAGGTGGTCTGTCACACTTGGTTGGGAGCAGTGAGTCTACTTCCTCCCTATGGAGTAGTTTCAAACCATCACCAGGACGAAGTGTTCCAGGAGCCGCTCACCATGGAGGTGTAGTTCGAGTGGAGAAAGAAGTTCACCCAATATGGACAGCCTAGGTCTGCCTGGGACATACTGGAATTGAGAGACACAATCCACTGGAAGCTCTGGAGGGAGGTTGTCCAAGTGGAGCAAGACTGTTATAGAAAGGTCCTCTCTTTGACCATGGATCGGTACTGGCTGCAGCTGGACTTGTGTATATACCATTCCTAGGAGAGCATCCTCAGGAGGAATGGCTGATGGAGCTGGATAGGTTAGTGCAGGCAGAAATGGTGGTGGACGATGGGTACCAAACGCTGCAATGTTATGCCACCAAAGTGTGTCCGTGGCTGGAGAACAGCAATCCCATAAAAGGCTATGACTTTGGAGGAGCCTGGGATTGATATTTGAGGTCCTTCAGGAGGATCCACATTTTGGTATTGCAGCACAGTGGAGATGGGAGGAGAACCAATATTTTAGGGAGTTGGAAATTCTCAGTGAGCTTGGATTGAGTAGTGACTTGGACTTTATAGTCACACAAGAATGGGAGCTGGAACAAGCATATAAAAAGACTGTTTGACGAAACAGTATGCCCCCACATCCATAGGTGTTATAGATTATGAGTCACCAGCAGAAGAGCTGTCATCGGGGCAGAGCATTGCCAACCTCTTCTCAGTACCTTCAGCGACTCCAAGAGACTGGGGATTTGGTAAACTTTTCTGCTGAGGAGGAACAACCCAGTGAGCCTCCAGCAGAAGAGCTGACATCGAGGCTGCTGACCTCTGCCTACAACTGGTGGCCCTGGAGTATTTGTGCGAGGACACCGAATTTTCATTTTACCTCCCAACGAAAGAGCTGGCATAAGGGCAGAGCACCAATGACCTCTGCCCAGCACCACCAGCACTTTTGGAGCTCCAGGGATGGCAGCCTTTCTCCCCAGCAGCAGGCCAATACAGTGAAACTCCTAACCCCAGCTGAAGCACTGGCAGTGGGGAAGAGTACCGCCAGTCTCTGTCAATACACAGTCTCAGCAGAAGCACTGGCAACAGGACAGAGGGTCCAAGACGACTGCCCCACACCCCCAGCAGTTCCGGGGGTGCAGGGAGAGAAGGTGGCTGTTGTTCTTTCCCAGTGGCAGTTCGAGGATTCGGGAGAGGAGGTGGTCATCCTCCCCCTCAGTGGCAGACCCACAGTCTGGGAGAGGAGGTGGTCGTTCTCCCTCCCCAGCGGTAGTGTAGGAACTTGGGAGTGAAGGAAGTCATCCTTGCTCCACAGTGGGAGTCCTGGAGTCCAGAAGGACCAGTTAGTCTCCCCAGTGGCAATTCCACAGTCCAGGAGAGGAGGTGGTCATCCTCCCTTCCCAGCTGCAGATCCACAGTCTGGGAGCAAAAGAATCATCCTTTCTACCCAACAATCAGCCAGAGAATCCGTGCATCTGGAAGACAGTACCAGAGAAATGTTGTCTCAGCAGCCATATGAAGGTATAAGAGGAAGCCGTCCTTATTGCCCAGAGGCACATCCAGTCTGGGAGTGGAGGAAGCCATCCTTCCTCCCCAGCAGTCAGCAGAGGATGTGGGAGTCTTGAGCTTAAGCGCTTGCAACAGGGCAGAGTACCACTGGTCTCTGCCTAGCACCTCAGGTGTCATGTTTCCAGGGAGTCGGGGCACTTGGCCCCTCTCCCCAGCAGCAGACAGCCTTGGAACAGTAAAGGCCGTCCAGCTGGAGTTCTGGCAACTGGACAGAGGCACCTCTGCCCCACACCCACAGATGACAACTCCTCCCGGCGACAAAGAATGGAGACTGTGTTGGATTACTCTGTCCGACTAACAAACGTCCAAACCAGGTGGAGGTCTTGGACCTGGTTAGTCTACTTTTGAGGGGGGAGAAATGTGACAGAGACCCAACTAAAACAGGGAATTTGGAGGGGACTAGGGGCTAACCTTCAACCAACTGATTATGGCCCATGGAGGAGACTAGGGATTTTGTCTACTTCTGCCGGTCAGAGCATGGAAAAGAGCTCAGTTCAGCATCTGGAGAAAGCAGGTCATTCTCTAATGATGGACAATAACGTGATGAACACTTCGAGCAAAGCTTGGAGTAATTCTCTGAATAAAGACAATAAAGCTTCCATTCTGGAGTAAATGGAAAGGTGTAATATTAATCTTGTACAGGTTATTGGTCAGAGGAAATATGGTGGCCATCCTGCAGGCTGGGTTGGACATTCTCCTCAATTTGGGACAAATATTTATCAATAATCTCCTTTAAGAAATCTATGAAGATACATTAATTCCACTTTTTCAGACCGTTGGAATATTGTATGAGCTTTGTCTTATGATGAATTTTCTAGTGGACAGATTTAACAATTGAAAGCCAAACACCTGAAGAACAGCATGCGTAATACACTTTGTGTATTCAGGGTTGTGGTTACAGGCCTGAATCTGTTAATTAGATCACTGTTAGTACAGTACATCTAATGAAAAGCTAACAAAAACATGTCAATAAGTTCCATTATAATTAAACTCCAAATTTTGGTTACATCTTTCTGCACAATACCTTTTTACGGTCTTACTGAAAAAGTCAGATACTTTGGCAACTGGCAATATTGAATTGATTACCACACATGCATCAGAATCTCTGTATCCACATCTGTTTTGCATCCACATATAAAGCAAACTAATTGAGCTACAAATTTTGAATGATAAGCATGTGCTCATTCTATTATTTAATTTAGACGGCAAATTCCCACTCCCTTTACGCTAAATTTAAACTTTAACATACAGCTCAGAAATAACAATAATAATGTTAATAACAATGATATCAATAGTCACTGCCATCTCTTTTCATATTTCAAATATATTCCTTTTCTTTCCATATGGTATAGAAAAGCAATTAAAATTACAGACTTCAAAGTTCATGGATACAGGACAATGGCAATAATGCAGATCTGAAGATCCTTACTTGTCATTGACAAATGAATACATAAGAAGTCTCTCTTCAATAAACTTCTTCCACTCAGGCTTCTCATTTTGGAGGTCTCGGTAGTTGTCATTAGATACAATGATGCCATCAGAATCAAATGCCAGCTTGACTATGAAACGATCATCGTAGCAAACCACTCTGCGACCCTGCACCCGGCGAGATGGTGTAAACACAAGGATTTTCTCTTTCTCCAGCTTCCGGAGAACCTCCTGGTCTGTTAAGGGTGGCCCAAGAGAGATAGTTCATAATATAGAACATCCATTATTCATATACACAATAAAATGCTTATTTTTCATCACACAATCACATTTTTACCACTTTGAACTTAAAGAAAACCTGTAATTTGCCTATGCACTACACTCCACTGTGTTTGGCCACTGAAACCAAAGAAAAGATCAGAACTTCCTGGTGTTGAGAGGGACTCACTCCTCTTCCTTACTGCATTACAGTACTTGGCAAACAGCACTGTCACATGGTTGGTCCAAGCAAAGCAATGAGGAAGGGATGGGTGTGCCATTAAAGTGAACCTTTTGCTTTAACTTGCATGGCCAAAGCACAGATTTGCTTTAACTTCCTTGTATTCACATAGTTTTCAGCTATAATCTAAATAAATTAAATTTTTCCATGAACTTGCTGAACATACTTCATCCTAAATTACGTGTGAGCATTACTTTGTGCAACACATTCTGAGAAAAAAAGCAAGTTCATGACATAAAGCACTTCCAGATCACTATCATTCATATCTACAAATAGTAATAACTGCCAGTTTCCTCCTCATGATCCATTATTGTCATCTCTCTCATGTACTGGTAAATTATTTTTTTCTATTTTTAACCACTTTCCTGCTGTCCTGTAGCAGTATTTCTGCTACAGGGCAGCAGGGGTGCGCAAAATCATGTATATACATGATTTTGCATTTCCGGTTAGGGGGTGCGCCCTACCCGCACCGCCATTCTCAGTCTCGGCTGCCAATCATTGGGTCCCAGGCGGTGATTACTCGCCGGCACCCAGTGATTGCCAAGTATTACTGATGGGGGAGAGGACTGTAAACAATACAATTCTCTTCCCTGTCAGCTCCAGCACACTGAGCCATGCAAAGCAGTGTGCTTACAGTGGAAAGCACAGACACAGCCTCATATTAAAACACACACAGCACATAGTTAACCCTTTGCTCGCCCCAGATGTTAACCCCCTTCCTGCCTAGTGCCATTAGTACAGTGTAAGTGCTTTTTATTAGCACTGATCACAGTATTGGTATCACTGGGGATGTCAGCGACACAAAGTCAGTTCGCTCCAGTGTCAGAATGCCCGCCGCAGTCCCGCTATAAGTCGCTGATCGCTGCCATTACTAGTAAAAAAAAATAAAAAATATTTAAAAACAATTCCAGTATATCTACACAGCCATTTAACTTTCACGTATTGGGATTTTTTTTTTTAACAAAGACCTGTAGCAGAATACATTTTGCCCTAAATTGACAAAATTAGATTTTTAAAATCTAACACACAGGCAATCAAATGCCACCAAAAAAAAAAAAAAAAAAGCTCTATTTGTGGGGGAAAAAAAAGGACATAAATTTAATTTTGATGCAGCGTTACATGACTATGCAATTGGCAGTTAAAGGAATGCAGCACCGTAACGCAAAAAATGGCCTGGTCAGGAAAGGAGGTAAATCCTCTGGAGGGAAAGTGATTAAAGAATATTTGGCAAGTCCATCTATATTTGTCAATTAAAATCTGGGTTGGGCTGGCATTTTAAACTTTGAACGCCCGCTTTGACGATTATATTCTGACCCTCACTGGCCTGCCTTCCTCCATGAAAAGCTCTGATTATTCCAAAGAAGCTTATGCACATGTCTTACAGTGCTTTTTCCCCCCCCCCCATCATGATGTTTCATAAGTAAAATGTTAAAGTAGAACTATAGGCATTTTTTTTTTTTTTTGGATAGAGCAAGGGAGGCTTATAACCTGTCAGTGTTTTTTTTTTTTTTTTTTTTTGCCATCTGTGTCCCATTGCGGAGGTTTCCCTTCACTTCCTGTCCCATAGCCAAACAGGGAGTGAGAGGAAATCCCTGCAAATTAACCTCCCTGGCGGTCTGATTATGTCAGTATTTTTGAATGTCAAAGCAGTACATTGTTTTACATGGAAATTTGTTGTTTTATATTGTAGGCTTGTAATCCTTAGGAATAACTCACTTAAATCTGTCCAAACAAGAGTCTAGTAAACAACCCAGGTATGATAATTCAATAATGTAGCCAAACCAAAAACACTTAAATTTGTCCAAACAAGGGTGCAATATTACTAGACACTGCATATTGGTTTAGTAAACCTCTCGGGTATGAAAAAGTTTGAAATATGGGACTGCACAAAGTTCAACGTTACAATCAGGACAATGGAACCTGGTTTTCTTTCCGATTTTTTTTCACTCTGTCATCTCGCTTCGAGCAACAAACCACAAACATCTTTGTAGGTGCTGACTTTTTCTCGGTTGGTGCGATATAGTCCACAAAGTGACGACCAGTCAGGCGTTCTGGGTTGACAATGCCAACGATACAACAAACTCTATTCACAGCCATTGATGGTGTTTAGTGGTTCACAAAGATACGTTCGGCAATTTTCCAAATTAAGTCAGAATGAATCACAGGCTTGTCACTTTTTGTTTGTTTTTTTTTAGCAGAATGTAGGCATTCCACAAGCATTGCTCAAGAAGATGCCTGAAGATCTGCTTGTAGTACTTCATTTGCCATTTCCTCATTGCTGGGTAGAATGTCATTGCTTGGTTGGCTCTGTTGACACCTCCCATGTTGTTATTGTAGTCTATCACTACTTGTGGCTTCATGATTTCTTTCCCACCTTTTGTGCGTACCATAACAGTGGAGGGATTAAGAATTGTATTCATTAGGCACACATCATTTTTGTCACGCCATCGCAGTGCCCTCATTTTACCTTTCTGCCAGGACACCATTTCTCCAGTCTTAAGCTTCTTATTGCCAAACATTGGTGGCATGTCACGCCAGTTAGCCCTAACTATTCCATAGGCATCTGTTTTGTTTTGCAGAAAAAACTCAAAGTTCAGGAGATGTATAAAAGTTGTTGGTTGTTACCAAATAGCCCTGCTTTAGCAATGGCTCAATTAATGAAAGAACAGAAGATGTTGTTATTTCATAGTTGCTGTATTTTGGATTGAATTTTGTTCCTTTTCCAGTGTATATGACTGAATTCCAAATGTAGCCAGTTGATGATTCGCATAGCATGTAGGATTTTACGCCAAATCGTGCTCTCTTTGATGCAATGTATTGTACCCAGCTGAGCCTTCCCTTGTAGGCCATTAGACTTTCATCTATGCTGATATCTTTCTGGCACATAGCGCCATTGAAAATTCTTTACAATCATTTGAGATACTTCCCAAATTTTCTTTAGTTTTGGTCAGGGGCAGACTGACCATTTGGAAACTCGGGTACCGCCCGAGGGCCCAGAGTCAGTAGGGGGCCCCATGAGATGCCCCTGGTACCTTTATCATAGGCTTTTTTGAGTTTGGGCAAGGACACAGGGGCCCCATGATCCCCAATTGCCCAGGGGCCCCATGAGTTGTCAGTCCACCCCTGGTTTTGGTGCAGGATGAGTAGTTTCATGAAATTTTAAGTTGTTTTTGAAGTGTAAACATTTCATGATCAGGGAAAATTCGTACTCTGACATGACTGTGCCAAAGAATGGAGTGGAAAGTAATTTATTAATTGTCCAATAACACTTCTGCAGGAGTTTCTCCACCACTCCCTGAAGTATTATTAGGCCCATAAATGTCATCTTTGGTCACTGGTTCCCACTTTCTGCTTCTTGGAAACTTCCGATGAAGAGTAGTCAATTGTTGCTCTTGGTACCGGTTTGTCTCAGTAGCGATTTTTTCAATAACCTCATTGGTCAGATATAATTGTAAGTATGCCAAGATGTTGTCATGTTCAATGTCTACTTTCATACCAGATGCTCCAGTAAATGGGAATCTTGGGGGCACTGCCTGATCCATACCACAGTCAATAGAGCACCAAGTTCGCATATCACTGAGCTCAGTCGCAGAATTGTCGCTGTCCTCACTTTCAGTGTCTGATGATGAATTTCCCCATGAATCACTATCGCACAATTCTACAGGTGATTCTAATTCACTGTGTCTTCTAGCTGGTCTAAAACCACTTCTGACCTAAAAAGGGACACTTTTTGGATGCCATGGACGTTCTCAAGTTTCCAGGCAGAAAGAACGATAAAAGTGCAGGCAGGGCACTGGACAAAGCACTAGGAATAAAACTGAGGTGAAATGGTTTGATACAGTAATGTAATCCTAACAGATTACAATGTATCGTGTGTATGTCATATTTTTACTTTTTTGAATCTCCCGCCGGTTCCACCCCCCCGCGTCGTGACACTCGCAGGAAAAGAAACCCAGAAGACGAATGCCGACATCGGCCAGAGGACATGGCTGGAGGACATCGGGGGATCACAGGACAAGGTAAGAATCGGGGGAATCACACAAGAACCACTACAGTGTAATCCCGAGTGTGGCTCGGGGTTACCGCTTTTGGTACTGAAAATTAACCCCGAGCCACACTCGGGATTACTGCCAGGGAAGTTAAGGGAATTCCTTGGGGACCTCCAGGTCACCAGAACTAGTGTCCCCATTGGAAGACTTCCCCCTTATTACTTTTCTTTTTGAGACAACCCAAAATGTGGAATTTTCTTTTACTTTCAATGATAATGGTAAACAGGACAAATAAAGACGATGAATCTTGTTCTAATGCTTCTCCAATCAACCCAAAACGAAAAAAAAAAAAAAAAAAAAATTACTTTAAAATGTTTAATTGCTCAAAAGAGATTTTGAAACCCTAAAGTTGAGCAATCAAACCAGTAAGTCAGCTAGACTAGTTTTCAAAGTGCTCACAATTCAGTGAGTTAACATTTATTGTACATTTGTCATTTTAGCACAAACATTAGGGCATACATAAGAAGTGTTAAAATATTTAACTGGTTGGTAACTTATCCTAAAGGCAGAAATAATAAAAATAAAATACCTGTGATGGGGGCATCAGGTCGAGACTGCTCCTTCCGCCAAGCTGGTACAAAGACAGTAATGTCTTTATGGCCTTTCTCCAGAAACCATTCCACAGCCAGCTGTATTCCTCGGCATGAGAAGACCTCTTTATTGCCATGACTAAGTGAGGAGGACAGATAGAAAATGAACAAAAAAATGAAACATTCAAGAAACAAAACAAACATACTCTTCTCCTTCACTCTGTGATATCAGCATTTCAGCTGTATGCGAATAGAGGTTGTTAGGTACAATTCCATCCACTACAACTGGTAAAAGGGAACCTATGGACTTGTAAATGAAAAAACAAAAAGAGGGCGCACTGACCTAGTGCATTATCGTTTAAAAATATTTATTGAGAGAAAAAGGTAAGTATCATACTCACAATGGACATAAAAAACACAGGCATATCACAGTGAACAAGGTGTTCAATCCAAACAGCATCTGAGTCCATACGATGGAACCCTGGATGACTAACTAGCTGACGCGTTTCAAGGACTCAGCCTCTTCCTCAGGGCTCTGAGGAAGAGGCTGAGTCCTCCAAAAGGCATCAGCCAGTTGGTCATCCAGGGTTCCATCGTATGGACTCAGATGCTGTTTGGATTGAACACCTTGTTCACTGTGATATGCCTGTGTTTTTTATGTCCATTGTGAGTATGATACTTACCTTTTTCTCTCAATAAATATTTTTAAACGATAATGCACTAGGTCGGTGCGCCGTCTTTTTGTTTTTTTCAATTGCATTTAGTGACTTTGGACCGCCCTGGTCTGTTGAGGGCAGCAAGCAGTGCATATTCCAGAACGTTCATATTGGTTCTGGCGAGTCCATTCCCAGCACAGGAGAAAAGTGTTTGCTGTGTTGGATATGGACTTGGTAAGCCAGATAAACCTGCTGCAGCTTTAGAAAACAATCAAATCCAGGTGGTTGCATGAATGCTTCATCCATATGTAAAGCTCCCCTACTAATGCATAAAGCCTGTTCACTATTACACAAATTACAATGAGCTTTAATAATCATCCCGTGGACCCCCTCACCATTTTAGCTACTAAAAAAAAAAAAAAAAAAAAAAAAAAAAAAAAAAAAAAAAAAAAGGATATACCAGATATGAAAAGCAGTGGTCCAAAATGCTCCCACACAGTGCTCAAACCAACAAAACTGCTCAGGGAGTGTGAAGTTTGTTGACTGGAGCACTGGGCAGAGGGATGTTGATCCACAGTGCTCTGTATTGAGCAGTGGTCTTGATCTTCAGCATGCTGCTTGCAAAAGAAATATTAGTAAAGGCTGAAGCATGCTAAAAGGTTAAAAATATAAAACCCACCAACACATCCTTTAGTGTTTTTGCAGCATGAACGGTGCTTTTAGTAGTGACCAAGTGGCTGCCTTAGTAAAATTGTTATTTACTTGTATACTTGTAGATTATCTTTTGTCCTTGGATATAAATTATAAAGAAGTCAAAACTAATAAGCTTGTAGGCTGGTAAATACTTCTGAATTTCTGTATTGTAAAATCAAAATACAGTTAACCAAATTAGCACTAACAGTAGGCAGAAATTAAATAGAACGCACAGTTTTTTATATACTTAGATACACTGCAAATGTAAAAATAAGTCGGATGTAAAACTTTTTCAATGTGCTTTAAAGCCTGGTACATTAGTCATTCTGCAACAGTGTAGTAGTTAGCTTCCGGAAAGATTCCAATGGTATGACATTTTTAAAACTAATGTACATTAGAGAAAATAGCCTTTAAAAAACACAACATTTTAACTATACAAGCAAAAGAAGCCAGCTTGATATAATTCTTATTCTTTCATAAAACCGTGTTTCTAGGTTTAATTTGCAATTATAGTTGTAGATGGATGCAGCCATAAATGCTGAATAATATACAATAGCTGTGCTTCAATGCACCTTCTTACGGTGCAAGTCTATGGGAGCAGGCCAACATCTTGTTAGTTGGGTCCCATTCACATCTATGCAGGTGCATCGAATTGTGTTGAGCTTTGGGCAGCCCATTTATTTCAATAGGTTGCCCTATTTAAAAGAAAAAAAAAAAAAATATGTGCATGACCCTTTTAGAAAATCATGCCATACCAAGAAGTATGGTAGTTTGTTACCATGCATTTTGGCATGTGCATTAGCAAGGGATGTGAGGGTGTCATTAAGTGCAATTTTGCACATGTTCCTACAAGGTAAAAATGTGAACCTTGCCTTTGAGGAGCAAAAATCCAAACGCACACAGTGTGAGGTATGTTCTTTTTCGTCTTCATGTTTTGATGTAGTGCAGTTTGGAGCAATGTTTACAGCATATAGAAGAGTGTTTTTTTTTTTTTTAAATGCACATTACAGTGGTATGGTAACACAAGCAAAATGTATCGAAAATATGTGTAAATGTACATATTTGCCAGCTTGCGACAAATAATCAAATGCCTACTGAAGGGGTCCTGCACGACTCCGAAACAGTGCACTCTTTTGTGATTTGAGCATTCTTCAATAAAACTTCTCAGGCAACATTTGATGATCCGTGGTGTGCTGTGAAATATGTACATTGAACACTGGCAGGGGACCTGAGAAGAAGAAGATGGTGGCCTCTCTGTGCAAAGCCATTGTACACAGCAGGTAAGTATGTGTTTTTTTTTTTCTAAATAACAAAAAAAAAACCTTTTAGAATCACTTTAAGAAAGATCCCAATAATAAAAAAAATCCTTGCTTTTCCACCTGATCAGTGCTTCCAATGTAACAATCCCAAAGTTCCAGAGACAACCATACACCTCCACTATTCAGGACTAGTACAGTGTACTGAACTCCATCTGTAATATGGTAGACCTCATCCAATCACTACATGACCAAGCTTACAAATTCCAAGCCAGATTTTCTTGTTACTATTCCATTATCCAGACCAAAACAAACATCTGTTGTCCATCCCCACACCTTTCTAACCCCAATATAAACTGATCCACTAGGGAACCTCAGAATTTTAACCCCTTTCAGTACCCAAAGGCCTGAGAGTCTTGCTGTAAGACCTTTTGTTACCCATGTCGTCTTATACTGTAAAAACTCTCAATAAAACTTGAATTATGAAAATATAGGCGCTTGAATGTACCCTTACTCAGGAGCACAGTGACAGAATTGAGCAATTGAGGGTCCCCTCTAGTGTCTAATCAACAAATCTCTACTTTTATAAAAATAAAAAAAAAACTTAATTCCAAGGCAGACAAAATATTGGTGCAATTATTTAATGTTATTAGAAATTATCTTGTTGCAGTAAATAAGTATACCAACCTCATTGCTACATTACTTCCATCAATGACTATTGGTCTGAGGTTATCTGAATTGTCAACAATTTCATCTTCTAAAGAAAGTTCAGGACTTGTTATCTCTTTGGTGCAAGGACCTCTAGGTACAAGATTGCTACTCAAACTGCCTCCACTAGTCTGTGCTTCTGACTCTCCCTTATTGCCTAGCCTCACCAGCTCTGCCAGGACATCATTTATAAGAGCATCTGCCCCCCAACTTGTTGAGGACAGCTTGGATTTGTTCCCCATTGTAGCCCAGCTTCAAGGCAAAGTCCATTTTTGCTTGATATTCTCTGTCTAGGCTGCTCTTAGCATCTTCTGACTTTGTTGCTTGTTCAAGGGGAACTTGAATACTGCTCTGAGAGAAGCTGGGACGGTCCAGACAAGGGGATCTGCAGAGTTGTCTATGTGGTTTACTGGAAATGTCCATGCCTTGAAAAAGGGTGTTAACGTAGCTGCTGAGGGCACTTTTTCCTCCCTGCTGTTCTGCTTCACTTTCAGAGCTGGTCCATTCATCAGATTCTCCACTGCAATCTCCCATCTCGTATTCCATCTCACTTGCAGCCGCCCGATCTTCTTTGGACGGCCTCTTCTTTTCCATTTCCAGTTTTCTGACCATGGACCAGGCCGTCATCACGTTTCCCAGATGACCAAAGATCACAAGGCTCCCCTTTTGCTTTATTAATGCAACCAGTTATGTGTATGTAAGGGCATTTTCAAGCAAGGGCACGATTATTTCCACGTCTGAAAACCAAACTGTTGCAGGATGATCTGTGATGCCAATAGATAAAATGTACTCCTGAAAAAAAATAAATAAAAAAAACCTTCATCAAAATGATCTGCAATAATCCTTATGTAACTTGAAATGCTTGACATTTAGATTTATTATGACTGAATGATGGCCAACTCAGATTTTAAAGGGAACATTTCTGTATAGAAATATGTAAGCTTTTAACAGTTTGCCCGATTTTACATTGAATTGAATTGTAAATTAATTTGAATTATGCTCCATCTATACCAGCATTACCCTGGCCTTTGCTAAGGCTGGGCAAAGGAATAGAGTCACTCACCTTTCCCTCTTCTCAGCAGATTATGCTGACTTTTTGGCACTCAACTCCCCCACCAATTTTGTCATTAGACGTTAAGCAAAATACCCAGAAGTTCTGATTATTGGCAACTTGTTACTTATGCTGGCCATACACTTATTGATTTTCAGACATAAATATGTGTATGAAAATTCTTTGTATATTCGATGAATGGACGAATGTTGTTGAAAATTTCACTTGCTGTATTCAATTTTAAAATGAACGTACATTTCTGAATGAAAACCACATACATTGTCCAAAAATTTGTTCGATCCAGAAAAATTTTCTATTCTGCTCCTTCAAAATTTCCAGTCACCGTGGCAGAAAAATGAACGTCGATGTGACCTCAAGAACAATTAGAAAATTGAATGAACTTTCTTATGAAACATTTCAAATGGAAATCTGTACGTATATGGCCAGCAAAAAAAAGTCACCCTCTCCTATGTTACAGCACTGGTGACACAGCCCTCTGTACAGTCCGGAGGTTACGCTGGGCTTTTTTTCCAAATCTTAGTGGACAGGTGACAAAAAAGGGAAATATATGCTGTTGTGGGTAGGGAGGACAAAGAAAAAGGTCAGTTTACGCAGGATTCAGCAAGCTATCTGCTTGTGGATCCCCTGCTGATTGGTATGGACCATGCTCTATGTGAAAGAGCTCTAAAATGGAAGAATAAAGTACCTTCAGCATACTGGAATGGTCTGACTCCCTAAACCAGGCATATCCAAAGTCCGGCCCGCGGGCCATTTACGGCCCGGGGGTCGGTTTAATACGGCCCTCCAACAGCCCCTCCCTGCTCTGTGTAATGTGGCCCTCCCATGGCCCTCCCTTCTATGGCAGACAGTCTTCTGCTTGAGAGCAGAGGGCAGTGCGCATGCCTGACTGCGGCGCGTTCTCCCTGGTCTGTGTAAATGCGGCTGTCGCACGGCCCTCCCTTCTGTGGCAGACAGTCTTCTGCTTGAGAGCAGTGCGCATGCGTGACTGCGCCGCGCTGGGAGCGACAGAGGGCGGTGACGTCAGGGCCGGGCTTCCAGCGTGAAGTGTGTTTCTCTTCCCCTCCCGGCTGCCGAGCAGAGACTTCAGCTCCAGCTACCTTTTTCACCCTTCACATTAGTGCAGGTAAGTTTTTTTTAAATTTATTTTCAATACATTGTGAAAACTCAGCTGTCAGTTGATCTTAATGTTATGAAATAAAAAGTATGTCGTTTGCAATTAATTTGGCATAAAATAATTTATTTGCATTTAATTGTAATGGTTCAAAGAATGTTCGGAAAAATGTTCGGCCCTCCACCATGTTCACTTCATCCAATCTGGCCCTCTTTGAAAAAAGTTCGGACACCCCTGCCCTAAACTGTTCATTCATGTGTCCACTCGTTTCTTGCATACATTTCGTTTCTTACAGACACAGAAAAGAGAACTCTGTCCACACTACAAAAATTCCCCAAGCAAAAACCGCTGTAACCTCTTAAGAATTTCCCTTTTTTGCTATTCTAAACACGATATAAACCAGTTACCTGGTAACTCAATTTCCAGAAATCTTCCAGGATAGCACGAGTGTAGTTCCCCCCTTCCAAAACAGGAAACACAAGGCTCACAGACAATAAAAGAACAAGCTCAGACTCACTGCCTCAGTAATATTTAACCACCATATTTATTGGGCACTTTCACCCCCTTCCAGCCCAGGTCAAGTTTCAGAGTTCAGCACTGTCACATATTGAATGACAATTACTCAATCATGAAACACTGTACCCAAATTAAATTTTTTTTTTTTTTTACTTCTACTGCTTCTGCTACTGTGTACTATTGTGATAGCTGTGATTGGCCACAGCTATCACATGGTACAGCTCCACTGTGATTGACCCAGCACCATGTGATCACTGTGACCAATCAGAGATCACAGTAGTAAACAATGGCTATGAATGACAAGCCATTGTTTGTTAAGAACCGACATGTGATTGCTGTGATTGGTACCAGCGCCATGCATAGTGGCCTAGTGGACACAGCGGGTCACAGATTGCATCGCTGCGTGGCCCCCGAGGGCGCACACGAGGTAGGACACCATACGACATCTGCCCAGGGCAACAGAACATTCACCCAGCTTTATTATTACAATAGGTTGTGTGGAAAGTGGCTAAGAACCAAAAGAAAATAGAATGTACTGTGAATAATTTTAAACCCCGAAACACTTAAATAATCAGAGGGATTTTCCTGCTGTCCTGGAAATTGAGTTACCAAGCAACCAGCTCTGTTTTCCCCAATTATCCTGTAGGATAGCATATGAGAAATAAGAAAGAAAATAACCTAACTAAAGTGGAACGTCTGTTTGCAGGACCCATTTCCCCAAGGCTTAGTCCTGAATGGACAGCATGGCAAACTTGTCATGCTGAACCAACCATATAAAAAAGAAAAAAACAAAAAAACAAAAAAAACAAACAAACAGGCAGCAGCTCTGAAGAGCTGTTCAGGCACCCCACCAGTTTTCTGTCCATGCTGAAGCCAAAGTCCTGTGAAATGACCTCTATTACCACTGGGTGGCTCGACTTTTGAAAGTTTGAACAGTATGTCCAGAAATTGTGTATCTGATCCACCTTTCTATGGTTTTCATCGACATCTTAGCAACTCTCTTGGGTCCTACAAATAGTACAAAAAAAGCAATTTTCAACAGTTTGGATTTCTTAAAGAGTTACTAAACCAAGGACCCTACATTCACCATACCTGGTCTCCCACAGTACACAGAACATGGAAGTGCAATTATTTTAGTAAATATAAACTGCTAAATACCTTTTCTCATCAGCAGTTAGAGCAGTCTTGTGACTTCTATCAGTGTCCAGTAGAACACTGGTTAAAGCTTGCAGGAGGAGTTTTCTTTCTACTCTAGGAGGATGCAGAACCCCTGACCTCTGTATGGGCAGTGTTGATTGGCCTTGTGCTGAGCACATGCATCTACCAAGAAAAAAAAAAACCTCTCTAGCAATACACACCAAAGTGAGCATGAGCAATGTCTCTCCACACGATATGCCTTATCCAGAGATAAGAGGAGGGCACTGAAAGAAGGGAAGTATCAGAGAAGTCAGGATCAAACAGTGTTTTTTACAAAATGCAGAGGATTAACCCCTTCCACAGTGAGTATAAGTCCTCAGGCACACTGGACATTTTTACAGCTGCTGTTTTTGGCTTTTGACATTTTTTTCTACAGCCAGTAAACTCCCCAGCATGATATCCTATGTGTCCATGCACACAGACTGAAATCAACGTTTTTTGGCAGGGACAATTTTTGGCTGGAAAAAAAAACAAACAGGTCTAGTGGGTTTCTAGAGTTTTTTAGATGCAAAAATGCTTTAACGCTGACAAATGTGACACAACATGCTAATCGCGGCAAACCAGCATTTCTGGATGTTTGACGAAAAAAAACAAAACACTAAAAATGCGAAAAAACGTGACAAAACGCCACTAAACGCTAAAAAAACTCAGGTTTTTAACGTGACTTTACACAGTTAACGATACCGGCATTATCAAAACACCCAGTGTGCATGGATCCTAACAAACATGCTTTACTGCATATACAGACTGATTTTGCTGTTGTGAGTTTAGTAAAACTAAAATGTTCTGCAAACATCCAAGCACACCAAAGTTGCTTCCTATCCTTGGATGGGTTTGAATATAGGGAAGGAATTCCAATTTCCTTAGTCCAATGGATATGGAGCAAGTTTAAAACCCAGATCTACTAGAAGGACTATCGAATCCAAAAAAAACTGTGCAGTAGGTCTGCGAGAACTAGAATGTACCTTCCACTAAAACTCCTGATGTGGCCAAAAGCTACTAACAGTCTTAAAAACAGGGTGGATAAAAATTAATGATTTTTTGAAAAAAAGAAAAAAAAAAAAAAAAAAATCAGATTTTTTTTTATTTAAATCTGATTTTTTAAATAAAATGCTTTTTGAGGAAAATATATTACCATCCAAAAGGTTATTCCATCATGAAATAAAGATTAGTTTTTTAATTATGTAGAATAAGGCTGTATATGTTTAATTTTTTTGGTAAATAAATTCCATTAATCCATTCACAATGACATGCTCTAACAAAAATATATCGTCATAATGACAAGAGGAAAAAACCTTATAATGTTAATAAAATACACACTAGGATCAATGGCAAAAAATTTATATATATATATATATATATATATATATATATATATATATATATATATATATATATATATATATATATATATATATATATATATATATATATATATATATAGGGATATCTAAATAGTCCTGATTAGCTGTTATCAATAAAACTATTGATATCCAATTCTATATTAAGTCCCTTGGGGCGCATACAGTCCATCTGGAATATCCATTTCGTTTCCATTTGCGAGACTGCTCTTTTTTTTTTTTTTTTTTTTTTTTTTATGCCTCTCCAATGGGCTTGTACAAGCCCATTGGAGAGGCATAAATAAAAAAAGAGCAGTCTCGCAAATGGAAACGAAATGGATATTCCAGATGGACTGTATGCGCCCCAAGGGACTTAATATAGAATTGGATA